TCGCCTCGCCTACACGCACGACGCGAACGAAACGAAACGATTTCCTGGTTGGGGGTCTCCGTTCCACTGCGATCTCACCCCCCAACCTCCGATTTTTGGGCATTTGTGTTATACCTATACGACCACCCTTCGGGTGATAAGGAGGTTCGGGGGGGGGAACCAACGAGTGCACTCGATCGGTCTCACTATCGATCTCAGTATCGATCTCACTAACGGTCTCGCTCGATCGATCTCGCTCGATCGATCTCACAATCGATCTCACTCGATCTATCTCATTCGATCGATCTCACAATCGATCTCACAGTCGATCTCACAATCGATCACACAATCGATCTCGCATTCGGTCTCAATATCGATCTCACTATCGATATCATAATCGCTCTCACAATCAACGTCATCATCATCATCATCATCATCATCATCATCATCAACATCTACATCATCACCAACATCGTCATCATCATGAGGGCACCGTCATCATCATCATACACCTCATCATCAACGTCAGCATCATCATCGGGACAACATCATCATCACCATCACCATCATCATCTCATCATCAGCATCATCATCATCATCGGGACACAGTCATCGCCATCATCATCAGCAGCATCATCAGAATCATCAGCATAACTGGGACACCATCATGATCACCATCGTTCTCATCATCAACATTATCATCAACATCGTCATCATCCTCGGGACACCATTATCATCATGATCATCGCATCATCATCATCATCGACATAATCATCATCAACAGCATCATCATCATCATCATCATCATCATCATCATTGGGGCGCCATCATCATCATGAGCAACATCATCATCAACATCGTCATTCTCATTATTATCATCATCGGGACACCATCAGCATCACCATCATCATCATCATCACCATCATCACCAGCATCATCATCGGGACACCATAATCATCATCAACTTCATCATCATCAACATCATTATCGCCGGGACACCATTTCCATTAACATCATCATCACCAACATCATCGGAATCATCATCATCATCATCATCATCATCATCATCGGGACACCATCATTGTCATCATCATCAACATAATCATCATGAGCATCATCATCCTCATCATCTGGACACTATCATCATCATCGACACCATCAACAACATCATGATCATTATCTTCATCGGGACACCATCATCATCATCTCATCATCTCATCATCCTCATCCTCATCCTCATCCTCATCCTCATCCTCATCATCATCATCATCATCATCATCATCATCTCATCATCATCATCATCATCCTCGCGGGACACCGCGGGACACCGGCGGGACACCGCGGGACACCGCGGGACACCGCGGGACACCGCGGGACACCGCGGGACACCGGCAGGACACCGCGGGGCCCCGGCCGCCCGGAAGGGAGTCGTTTGGTCCGGCCGCGCCTCAGCCACACGGGACACCAGCGGGACACCGGCGGGACACCGCGGGCCCCCGGCCGCCCGGAAGGGAGACATTTGGTCCGGCCGCGCCTCAGCCACAGGAGACTTTTTCTCGCCCGCCCACGCAGCTTCGCCTCGCCCGCACGGCACGCACGAACACGAAACCGAAATCGATTTCCCGGTAGGGGGGCTCTCCGTTCCACTTCGATCTCACCCCCTCACCTCCGATCTTAACATTTTCGTCCAAAATCCGCCTGTAGGAGGACATGCCCGACCTAAAGCTAGTTTCTGCCTCTGCGGGCCCTCACTGAGCCTCGGGACCTGGTCAAAAAAACCGGCCCACGATGAAAGAGTCCAGCCCAGGGGGGAAGGGTCGAGACCTCTGGGGGTCGACCGCAATGATTAAGTCGGGCATGTCCCCCTACAGGAGGAATATTCAGTAATAGTTGAAAAATACTCGGGGGACGATTTTCTGTAGCTTTTTTCCCAACCATCCTGTGGTGTTGGGTCCTCGTTTTGAAGAGACAGCGCGCCGCGTTTCCTCCTTCCTCCTCCTCCTCCTCCCTCCTCCCCTCCTCTCATCATCATCATCATCATCATCATCATCATCATCATCATCATCATCATCATCATCATCATCAGCATCATCATCAGCATCATCATCAGCATCAGCATCAGCATCAGCATCATCGTCATCATCGTCATCACTGTCGTCATCATCATCATCATCATCATCATCATCATCATCATCATCATCATCATCATCATCATCAACATCAGCACCAAATCATCACACGTGTCGTTGCCCCATCGGGAACTCCACCGAAGGTCCCAATGGCGCGGTTGGCATGCGTCTCCCCGCCCCAGGTGTAGCGTTTCGTGGCCCCACGGGGAGCGCCACCGAAGGTCCCCGTGGCGCAGTCCGCATGCGTCTCCCCCACCCAGTACAGCGTTTCGTGGCCCCATAGGGGCTCCGCCGAAGGTCCCAGTGGCACAGTCCGCATGCGTCCCCGCCACTCATTTCGGCACACCCCTCACACGTTTCGTGGCCCCATAGGAGCTTCGCCGAAGGTCCCCGTGGCGCAGTCCGCATGCGTCCCCGCCACTCATTTCGGCCCACCCCTCACACGTTTCGTGGCCCCATAGGAGCTCTGCCGAAGTGCCCAGTGGCACAGTCCGCATGCGTCCCCGCCGCTCATTTCGGCCCACCCCTCACACGTTTCGTGGCCCCATATGAGCTCTGCTCCCCCGAAGGTCCCAGTGGCACAGTCCGCATGCGTCCCCGCCGCTCATTCCGGCACACCCCTCACATGTTTCGTGGCCCCATAGGAGCTCTGCCGAAGGTCCCAGTGGCACAGTCCGCATGCGCCCCCGCCACACATTTCGGCACACCCCTCACACGTTTCGTGGCCCCATAGGAGCTCCGCCGAAGGTCCCAGTGGCACAGTCCGCATGCGTCCCCGCCGCTCATTTCGGCACACCCCTCACACGTTTCGTGGCCCCATATGAGCTCTGCCGACGGTCCCAGTGGCACAGTCCGCATGCGTCCCCGCCATTAATTTCGGCCCATCCCTCACACGTTTCGTGGCCCCATAGGAGCTTCGCCGAAGGTCCCAGTGGCACAGTCCGCATGCGTCCCCGCCACTCATTTCGGCACACCCCTCACACGTCTCGTGGCCCCATAGGAGCTCCGCCGAAGGTCCCAGTGGCACAGTCCGCATGCGTCCCCGCCACTCATTTCGGCACACCCCTCACACGTTTCGTGGCCCCATAGGAGCTCCGCCGAAGGCCCCAGTGGCACAGTCCGCATGCGTCCCCGCCGCTCATTTCGGCCCACCCCTCACACGTTTCGTGGCCCCATAGGAGCTCTGCCGAAGGTCCCCGTGGCGCAGTCCGCATGCGTCCCCGCCACCCATTTCGGCACACCCCTCACACGTTTCGTGGCCCCATAGGAGCTCCGCCGAAGGTCCCAGTGGCACAGTCCGCATGCGTCTTCCTCTCCCAGTACAGCGCTTCGTGGCCCCATATGGAGCCCCACCGAAGGTCCCCGTGGCGCAGTCCGCATGCGTTCCCCTCACCCAGTACAGCGTTTCGTGGCCCCATAGGGAGCTCCACCGAAGGTCCCCGTGGCGCAGTCCGCATGCGGTTCCCCCACCCAGTACAGCGTGTCGTGGCCCCATAGGGAGCTCCACCGAAGGTCCCCGTGGCGCAGTCCGCATGCGTCTCCTCCACCCAGTACACCTCCGTCGGAGGCCGTCGGAGTTTTGAGGAGGACGAACGGAGTGGGCTGCGGAGGAACGGAGGAGGAGGAGGTCGGAGGAGGAGGTCGGAGGAGGAGAAGGAGGAGGAGGAGGAGGAGGAGGAGGAGGAGGAGGAGGAAGCGAGAGGAACGAAAACGATGATGACGATGAGGATGTTGAAGACGATGATGCTGATGATGATGATGCTGATGATGATGCTGATGATGATGAGGATGATGATGTGATTACGGTTATGACGATGATGACGATGATGACGATGATGAGGAGGACGAAGACGATGATGACGATGATGCTGTGCGGGGCCACCAGCGCGCGTCGCAGGAACTCCGTGCTGCGTTCTGCCCGGCGCCTCGCTCGCCCGTCGTCGCTCTGCCCAGCGGCAAGAGCCTTGCCCGCTATTAGCCAGCGGGCGACCCGCGCGCGTCGCTGGGACCCCTTCTGGGCGTCCTGCGCGCGTCGCGGGGACTCCGCGCTGTGCGGCGCCCGCAGCCTTGGGCTTTGACTGCGCGTGCAAAGAGGGAATAAAAGAAGGGGAGGGAGCGGGCGCAATCCTCGCGGGGGGGCGCGCCGACATTGGCGTCGCGGCGCGCGGGCGATGCCGTCGGGGAGTCCCAGGGAAGCTGCTTGTGGCGGCCACGCCCAGCGTCACGAGTACTCAGAGGCAGTCATTCTCAAACGATTGACGTTCATATACAATTACACAATGCTTCGTCATACTCGCATTCATGCGCGTAGACTCGCTCGCACGCAGATTCATGCACAGTCAGACGCACTCGCGCTCATATTCACCCGCGCTCAGTTTCCCTACGTACTCAGATCAATCGTTTTCGTTCGCTTTGTGTACCGCGCCACTCATTTCGGCACACCCCTAGCACGGTTCGTTGCCTCATAGGGCTCGCCACCGAAAAAGTGAATCACAATTGCGGTACTCTCACCTGCATATGGTTGGGTCCTTCGTCCGGCTAATTTTTGTGTGCTCCAGTCTTGGCCTCGTTTTACGTCCAGAAAAGCACGATCCATGGGGTGCGCAAAACTTGTGTGGAAGTCCATCATTGGAGGGGAAGCGTGTTGCCACATAGTGCCCAGGTGCCTGCAGCATTTTTCAAGCATGCCTTAGAACATGTTTGCAAACCATGCTCCAAACAAGTGTAGACCAGTTTTCAAACATTTCCAACACAAGGATGCTTCAACGATAGGATTGTTAGAGTGCCCATTGACATGACATCCACAACGCGTAACCTTGGGGGGGGCGCCACAGGGCATCTATAGGACTCGTTCCCCCCGCGACCCCGTCTGGCTCGTGGTGTGGCCAACAGGGCGTGCGGGTCTGCGTCCACTTTCTGCAGAACGACTGCCTGTGGGGAGACAAGTGCCGCTTCTCGCACAATCCCGAGGACCGGGAGGGAGGCATATTCTCAATGTCGGGAGCCTCGAGACGGGGGTCAATGCAAAACTGGGGTCAGCCAGAGCTCCGGATCTTGCAGGATCCTGCAGGCCTGGGTCGCATTGGCCCGGGCTTGGGTGCAGGATCCTGCAGGATCTTGCAGGACCCTTTGCATTTACCCGGGCTTGGGTGCAGGATCTTGCAGGATCCTACAAGGCCTGACTGACCCGGGTCTGGATTGATCCGGGTCAGAAGATCCCCGACAATGACACGCTGCCGTTGGTACGGTAGCTTCGCGTCGAGTCGACCGGCGGCGACCCCGCCGGCGGCGTTCAACGTTGAATGCCGGCGGGGGCCCAGAGCCGGTCGATGCTGAACGATCGGACGTTTGGGGATCGGCCGATCGTTCAAGGTGGAGTCATCCCCGCGGTGTCAGGAACCAACGCCGAAGTCGGCACGACACGAGCCTGCCGTTGGTAGCCCGTCAGCGTGTCACTCCTTCGTCTTTGTCCGGAGGGCCTGGTGCCCCTCCGGAGGCAGCGCGCCGATGGGTCCCCCCACGGCGGCGAGTCGTTGCTGTTGCCGCTGCTCCCCGAGAGGAGCTGCGCGCCGGCGCGCCCGAGACAACCGCGATGAGCTTCTCAGACCTGGAGGTCGGGCTGGTGACGCGGGCGATCTCGGTCCCCCGGGCGCAGCTGAGGTACCTCACGACGGAGGGCACCAGGCCCGCTCAGCCCCTGGCCTCGCGTGCCTCTTCCCTGCTCCTGCCCGCCCTGCTTCCACCAGCACAGCATCCCGTCGTTCTCCAGGCTGGCCCCGTCGTGCCACGTCCTCTCTCCATCTGCCCCTCCTCCACGCGCCCCCCCCTTCTCCATCTCCCCTCTCCTCCCGCGCCCTTCCTTCTCCGCTGGCGCAGTGGCTTCGTGGACCTGTTTAGCTACGCTCTAACATCTGATACCCGCTGCCTGCGCCCAGAGGGGAGGCAGGGAGGGAGGGAGGGAGAGCGAGAGAGACAGCGAGGGAGGGAGAGAAGGGGAGGGCGGGAGAGAGAGGGAGAGGGAGAGGGAGGAAGAGGGAGGGAGAGGGAGAGAGGGAGAGGGAGGGAGGGAGAGATGGAGGGGGAGGAGGAGGGGGGGAGGGAGGTCGGCGGCGCGCCCGGGGTGGAAGCGAGGGAGGGCAGGCCTTTGCAGAGGGCGGCGAGGCTCCTCGGAAGCCCCCCCCCCGACGCTCTGAGCAGCCGCCTCCGTCCTCGGGAGGAGGGCCCAGGACCCGCTGCATGAGGTCGGGCCCGTCCCTCCACACGGGGGGGATGTGCAGAGATGCCAGAAAAATTGGCCGGGGTACTTCTTTTTTTGGGGGGGGGAATCTGTTTGGACTATTTTTCCTTTCTCGTCCGAAATCCCCCCGTGGGGGGACGCGCCCGACTTCAAACTCTGCAGAGGGGCCGCCCACACCGCCGCTTCGCGCACGGGTCCCGTGCCCCAGCTCTTCCCTTGGCACCTGCCGCCTGCAGGCGCAGGGAGGCGGGGACGTTCTGAGCAGCCGCCTCCGTCCCCGCCTCCCTGCAGAGGGGCCGCCGGCACCGCCGCTTCGTGCACTGGCCCTGTGCCCCAGCCCTTCGTATGGCGTCGGGCGTGTCCCTTTACAGGAGGAAGATATTCAGAAATAGTAAAAAATAGCCTGGGCGCGATTTTTCGAATATGTTTGAACATGTATGGAGTATTTTCAAAGAGTATTTATGACTTTTCCTCCAAGCTCCGCCTGTAGGGGTCATGCCCGACCTAATCTTAGTACCTGCTTCCTGCATGCACAGGGAGGTAGGGACCGGGGGGGGGGCAACGTTAGGGGGAAAGGCTCAGGGGGGGTACTCCCGGATAGCTCGCAGAGAGCTGAGAGGGTTTCAGATTTCAGAAGCCCCGGAGCCGCAGGGTAGCTCTGGAGGTCGTTTCGGGTTTCGTTTTCCAGCCTCGGCGCGCTTGAACTTGCAGCGGGTCCCGAAGAACCTCTTCTAAGCGTTTCCCAATACGCGTGCCCCGGAAGCTCTCCAGGAGGTCTTTCGGAAGCTCTCTCCCAGGTCCTTCCAGAGGTCTTCGCCAGGCCTTTCTACACCCTTCGGGCGCCCTGCTATCCGGGTTTGGGATTCCACAAGTGCAATAACTAGCAGGCGCCTCGGTGCCCCCTCCGCCGCGCCTTCATGGCGCCACGAGTGCTGAGCCGTAGCTGTAGCTGTAGCCGTAGCCGTAAGTGCACCAACTGCAGTCACCCACTCATCGCCGATGAGGGGCCGGATGGCTCACCCCGCCCCAAGGAGGGTGCGGTTTGGCTCTCGGGGGCCTCTCGCCGGTCTGTCGGCGGTTCCAGTCCCCCTATCAATCGTCCCCCCTGGGAGGGAGGGAGGGAGGGAGGAGGAGAGGCTGGAGGGCCGGGTAGGAGGAGTAGGCCGATAGGGGGGCTGGCAGACATCACGCTGCACGGCGGGCAGGCGATGTGCGGCGGCTCTACGAGGGCGCGGGAGGGCGCGGGGTGTCGGCTGCCAACCTGCGCCGATCCTGGCAAGGGGCGACCCTGGGTCCAGGTTTGTTGCTCTGTGCCTGCGGGGCCACGCCGGGAGGGCGCACACGCCGATCCCGAAGGGGGCCAGGAGGAGGGAGGGAGGCGGGAGCCAGGAGGGTGTACCAGGAGGGTGTAAACGCTAGGATGAGGAGGAGGAGGAGTAGGAGGAGGAGGAGGAGGAGGAAGAGGAGGAGGAGGAGGAGGAGGAGGAGGAGGAGGAGGAGGAGGAGGAGATGCCTCCTCCCTGCCCCTCCTCCCGAAGGGAGCCAGGAGGGTGTACACGCCAGGAGGAGGAACTCCCTCGCCCCTTCGCGGATCCCGCCCCCCCCTCGGCCGCCCCACCTGCGGCGCCTGCGAACCCCAGGCGGACAGGACAGGCAAGGTCTCAAGACAAAGGGAAGGGGGGGTGGGATGGGGGGATGCCAGATGGCTCGAGCCCGCCTGTCTTGCCGCCCTCCTCTCTCCCTTCCCCCTCCCTCCTCGCCCCACCCAAACCTCCTCCTTCTCCTCCACAGTTACTCAGTATGAAATACTACTCTCCCTCTTCCCCTGATAACGGCTTGAAAGTGTCCGACCCCCCCCCCCCCGCGTATTGTTTTTTTACACCGGTTTCCCCGGAGTTGGGTTTTCGCTGGTATTTTTGTTCAGATGCTGCTCTCGCTGAGGCGCCGGCCTCATTTTCGGGCCCCGCTCGTTCCGAATCGTGCTCCCGCTGCAGCGCTGGCCTCATTTCCGTGCTTCAGCTCGTTCCGAATCGTGCTCCCGCTGCAGCGTTGGCCTCATTTCCGCGCTTCCGCTTGTTTCGACTCGTGTTCCCGCTGCAGCGCTGGCGTCATTTCCCGTGCCATGCCACGGCATGCAATGCAATGCTAGGGTGATACTACGCTTTGCGGTGCTCTTCTACGCCATGCCATGCCGTGCTCTACAATGCATCGCGTACCCTTTCGGGATCATTGCCCTGCTCGACATCCGACTGTGCGAGTAGAGAGGGGATCTGCGCCATGGTAAGGGATGGGAGAGAGGGGTAGGATGTCAGATATGACGCGAGCGCACTTAGCTTGCCCTCCTCCCCCTCCCCCCTCCCCCTCCCCCTCCCCCTCCCCTCCTCCCCCCTCCTCCTCCCCCTCTCCTCCTCCTCCCCCGTCTTCCTCCCCCTCTCCCTCCCCCTCCTCTCCCCCTCCTTCCCTCCTCGCCCCACCCAAACCCCCGACAGCGTTCGCCTTTGCGGGCTCGCGCCAGGCAGCTGCTGGTCTCCGTGTCTGGCGTGTCGGAGGTGACCTGGGACGCCGACGAGGCCAAGATGACGCTGTCGGGACACGCGGCGCAGGCGCAGTGGATTGCCTGCCAACGCTTTGTTCGTTCTATTCTATATGGATGTGCTGTTGTTCTCCCAGTGTTCGGGGGGGTCCCGGCTACGGCCAGTGTCGCGCCCCAAGGGAAGGGGCAGGAGGATGCCGGATAAATCCCATGTGGCAGGGTTCGAGCGGTTCTGGCGGGAGGCGGCGCTGTTTTTGTTCGGGTGTGTGCGCGCGCGCGTCGAGAAGTTCAGAGGGCGCTGCTTCGGAGCCGCCCAGCGGCGGGGGCAAGACCAAACATGGTGGCGGGAGGGAAGGGGGAGGGAGAGCAAGGAATATGGAGAATGGGAAAGAGCCCTTGGAGCCTGCGGGGTCCTCGATAGCCATCAGAGAGGAGGATGGTTGGGGTCAGCCTCCTCCTCGTCGTCCCCGTCCTCCTCGAGCGCTGGAGCAGAGGTCCTTCGCCTGCTAATCGGGGTCAGCCCTGAAGTTTAGGGGTCAGGAATATGTAAGCCCAATTCCTTGGAGCATCCGAGCTCGGGGCCGTACTTATCTGAAACAGTATCCTGGCGAAAGGCCCAGCCATACGCAGTTGCGAGTACCGCGTTGTGGCCATCGCTTTCGGTGGAGCGCCACATGGGGCCACGAAGCGTTTGAGGGTGGTGCCGAGATGGGTGGGGAACCGCAAGCGAACTGCGCCACGGAGGCACTCGGTGGAGCTCCTTATGGGGCCACGAAGCGTATGAGAAGTGTGCCGAAATGGGTGGGGAACCGCATGCGAACTGCGGCACGGAGATGCGGTGGAGGTCCCTATTGGGCCACGAGGCGTGTGAGGAGCGTGCCGAAATGGGTGGGGAATCGCATGCGAACTGCGACACGGAGGCACCCGGGGTCACGAAACGGGTGAGGGGCGTGCCGAAACGGGCGTGACGCCCGCATGCGAAGTGCGCCACGGAGGCATTCGGTGGAGGTCCCTATGGGGCCAAGACACGTGTGAGCTGTCTGCCGAAACGGGCGTAGTGCCCACATGTGAAGTGCGCCACGGAGGCACTCGGTGGACCGCCCCTATGGGGCCACGAAGCGTCTGAGGGGCGTGCCGTCATGGGCAGTGATGCTGCTGCTGATGATGCTGCTGCTGTTGCTGATGATGGTGATACTGATGATGATGATGATGATGATGATGATGATGATGGTGATGGCGATGGTAACGATGATGATGCTGATGATGATGACTATGATGCTAATGCTGATCACGACGATTATGCGGCTGATGATGATGCTGATGATAATGATGATGGTGCTGATGATGATGCTGTCGATGCTGATGATGATGATGATTATGATGGTGATGATGCTGATGATGCTGATGCTGATGCTGATGCTGATGCTGATGCTGATGCTGATGCTGATGCTGCTGATGATGCTGATCATGGTGGTGCTGCTGATGATGACGATGAGGATGCTGCTGCTGCTGATGATGATGAGGATGCTGATGCTGATTATGATGATGATGATGATTATGCTGATGGTGATGATGATGAAGATGAAGATGGTGCTGATGATGATGGTGATGAGTATGATGATGAAGATGATGATGATGATACTGCTGATGATGCCGATGATGATTATGCTGATGAGTATGAAGGATATTATGATAATTACGATGGTGCTTATGATTATGATGCTGATGGTGATGATGCTGCTGATGATGATGATGCTGATGATGATGATGCTGCTGATGATGATGAGGATGAGGATGGGGATGATGATGATGATGATGATGATGATGATGATGATGATGATGATGATGATGATGATGATGATGCTGATGATGATGATGATGATGATGATGATAATGATGATCATGCTGCTGCTGTTGATGATGAGGATGAGCATGATGATGCTGCTGATGATGATGATGATGATGATGGTGATGATGACGATGATGATTATGCTGATGGTGATGATGATGAAGATGAAGATGGTGCTGATGATGATGATGGTGGTGATGATGACAGGGAGGAGGAGGGGGCCAGAACGCGGGGCGCTGTCTCTTCAAAACAATCACCCGACACCACAGGATGGGTGGGAGAGGTGGATCCCTTTGTTTTCCCCGGGTATTTGCTTGGGAACTTCTTCGCCTGGGCCCGTACTTTTCCAGGACATCTTGTTTCCTTACAGTCGGGGCGCTGAAGAAGGAACCCTTTTCGTTAGGGAGAGGCTCGGTATTCCTTGATTGTTTCACAGTTTGCCTCAAGTTTTCCTTCGGCTTTCGATGGGAAGTCGAAGTTTGACTTCTGGAGAGAAGGGGTCTCGTTCCTTATTTTGGGTTCCTTAGGTCAACGCCCCGACGGTTGTCTGTCCTTCGCTGACTTTGGCAGACATCCGACGATGAGATGCTTGTTTTCCCCGCGCGGGCTCGGAGGTCCCAACCGCCTACCCCGGGGTGGTTTTTCGTCCCGGATCCATACGTGGGGGGCCCCCAAACGGTGCTGTGACCACACCGTGTGGTGAGTCGGTAGGGATTCGGGGTTACCGCACGGTTTTGGGACTCGGGTTGTCCTCCGAGGATGTCTCGGGCGACTGGAGTCTCCAGAGTCCCAAAACCGTGCGCTGACGGACCGTGCTGTGAGGTCTTGGGGGATTTCGAGGTCACCGCACGGTCTGTCACCGCACCGTTTCGGGACCCCAAAGTCCGACTTCTGTTGGTGAGCTGTTGTGGGGGAATGCCTGCGCTGGAGCAAGAAACCAGAGTTCTGGAGCCCCCCTCCCTTCCTCTACAGAGCTCATCCTCAGCAGCGTGTTCCTGGCCCGGGGGCCCCGGCAAGGGCAGGGGCCTCCAGAGGCCGAGGACGGCCCTGTTCACCGAGCGCGGTCCAATGCTTGCAGAGTGCCTGCTCGCAGACGTCTGACAAGAACACATGCCTGCTTCGATGTAGTGTATCGCAGATCCCCCGCGGCGGATCCAGGCCATCTGCGAGTAGGTATCGACGTCACCCCAACATACTTATACTATATGTGTGTCGCCCCGCCGGGGGCGACGCGCGCACCGAGAAGTCTTTTAGTACATGCGTCGTGGCGGGCGCTCTCTGGCCGCGCCGCTCGGGAAACGATACACTACGAGATGGGTGTACTACATGTTCGGGTCGGCGATGCTGCTGCCCCCGAATTTCATGGCGACCTGGTCACCTTGGTTCCCCAAGAGCGGTCGCGATCGCTCCTGCCTGGGTCTAGCACCTTGTTCCGTCTGTGCTCCGCGCGTTCGTGCGGACCAGGGCCCATGCGATTGGCCTTTTTCAGGAAAGCTTTGAAAATCAGATATCGTGCTGCGGAACCTTCTTGGGAAAACCACATCGTCTCCGACGAATTTGGCGAACCTCCGCGCCATGTCGGCATAACCTCGGACACAAACATTTTTTGAAATCCCTGGGGAAACTTTTCGGAAAGAAAAACCTTACTTCGGCGATTTCCATTGGGGGAGGCCTTTACCAGGCGATTTTTTTCTCAAGTGGAGGTCCCTATTGGGCCACGAGGCGTGTGAGGAGCGTGCCGAAATGGGTGGGGAATCGCATGCGAACTGCGACACGGAGGCACCCGGGGTCACGAAACGGGTGAGGGGCGTGCCGAAACGGGCGTGACGCCCACATGCGAAGTGCGCCACGGAGGCACTCGGTGGAGGTCCCTACGGGGCCAAGTCACGTGTGAGGGGCGTGCCGAGACGGGCGTGACGCCCACATGCGAAGTGCGCCACGGAGGCATTCGGTGGAGGTCCCTATGGGGCCAAGACACGTGTGAGCTGTCTGCCGAAACGGGCGTAGTGCCCACATGTGAAGTGTGCCACGGAGGCACTCGGTGGACCGCCCCTATGGGGCCACGAAGCGTCTGAGGGGCGTGCCGTCATGGGCAGTGATGCTGCTGCTGATGATGCTGCTGCTGTTGCTGATGAGGGTGATAATGATGATGATGATGATGATGATGATGATGATGATGATGATGATCATGATGATGATGATGATGATGATGATGATGATGATGGTGATGGTGATGGCGATGGTAACCATGATGATGCTGATGATGATGACTATGATGCTAATGCTGATCACGACGATTATGCGGCTGATGATGATGCTGATGATAATAATGATGGTGCTGATGATGATGATGTCGATGCTGATGATGATGATTATGATGGTGATGATGCTGATGATGCTGATGCTGATGCTGATGCTGAGGCTGAAGCTGATGCTGATGCTGATGCTGATGCTGATGCTGCTGATGATGCTGATCATGGTGGTGCTGCTGATGATGACGATGAGGATGCTGCTGCTGCTGATGATGATGATGATGCTGATGCTGATTATGATGATGATGAGTATGCTGATGGTGATGATGATAAAGATGAAGATGGTGCTGATGATGATGGTGATGAGTATGATGATGAAGATGATGATGATACTGCTGATGATGCCGATGCTGATTATGCTGATGAGTATGAAGAATCTTATGGTAATTACGATGGTGCTTATGATTATGATGCTGATGGTGATGATGCTGCTGATGATGATGATGCTGATGATGATGCTGCTGATGATGATGAGGATGGGGATGGGGATGATGATGATGATGATGATGATGATGATAATGATGATCATGCTGCTGCTGTTGATGATGAGGATGAGCATGATGCTGCTGCTGATGATGATGATGATGATGATGATGATGATGATGATGGTGGTGGTGGTGGTGATGATGACAGGGAGGAGGAGGGGGCCAGGACGCGGGGCGCTGTCTCTTCAAAACAATCACCCGACACCACAGGATGGGTGGGAGAGGTGGATCCCTTTGTTTTCCCCAGGTATTTGCTTGGGAACTTCTTCGCCTGGGCCCGTACTTTTCCAGGACATCTTGTTTCCTTACAGTCGGGGCGCTGAAGAAGGAACCCTTTTCGTTAGGGAGAGGCTCGGTATTCCTTGATTGTTTCACAGTTTGCCTCAAGTTTTCCTTCGGTTTTCGATGGGAAGTCGAAGTTTGACTTCTGGAGAGAAGGGGTCTCGTTCCTTATTTTGGGTTCCTTAGGTCAACGCCCCGACGGTTGTCTGTCCTTGGCTGACTTTGGCAGACATCCGACGATGAGATGTTTGTTTTCTCCGCGCGGGCTCGGAGGTCCCAACCGCCTACCCCGGGGATGTTTTTCGTCCCGGATCCATACGTGGGGGGCCCCCAAACGGTGCGGTAACCACACCGTGTGGTGAGTCGGTAGAGATTCGGGGTTACCGCACGGTTTTGGGACTCGGGTTGTCCTCCGAGGATGTCTCGGGCGACTGGAGTCTCCAGAGTCCCAAAACCGTGCGCTGACGGACCGTGCTGTGAGGTCTTGGGGGATTTCGAGGTCACCGCACGGTCTGTCACCGCACCGTTTCGGGACCCCAAAGTCCGACTTCTGTTGGTGAGCTGTTGTGGGGGAATGCCTGCGCTGGAGCAAGAAACCAGAGTTCTGGAGCCCCCCTCCCTTCCTCTACAGAGCTCATCCTCAGCAGCGTGTTCCTGGCCCGGGGGCCCCGGCAAGGGCAGGGGCCTCCAGAGGCCGAGGACGGCCCTGTTCACCGAGCGCGGTCCAATGCTTGCAGAGTGCCTGCTCGCAGACGTCTGACAAGAACACATGCCTGCATCGCAGATCCCCCGCGGCGGATCCAGGCCATCTGCGAGTAGTTATCGACGTCACCCCAACATACTTATACTATATGTGTGTCGCCCCGCCGGGGGCGACGCGCGCACCGAGAAGTCTTTTAGTACATGCGTCGTGGCGGGCGCTCTCTGGCCGCGCCGCTCGGGAAACGATACACTACGAGATGGGTGTACTACATGTTCGGGTCGGACGCGCGCCTCCAAGGAGGACATATAGTATTATAATGTCCCTGTGCGTCCCAGGTTACTTGCGAGTCGTGGAGCGCGCTCGTCTACGTTTCGAGCTTCCCGCCGTGCTCGGTGCCACGAGGCCGAGGGGGGACGAGACGGGGCCGAGGCCGCGGCCGGGGAAGGCGGTCGGCGCGACCCGGCAGGTGGAGGGTTCCTCCGAAGGGCTTAGGCGACCCGTCCTCCTCCTCCTCCTCCTCCTCCTCCTCCTCCTCCTCCTCCTCCCTTCTCCTCCTCCTCCTCCTCCCTCCTCCTCCTCCCTCCTCCTCCTCCTCCTCCCTCCTCCTCCTCCTCCCCCCTCCTCCTCCCTCCCCTCCTCCTCCTCCTCCTCCTCCCTCCTCCTCCTCCCTCCTCCCTCCTCCCTCTCCCTCCCTCCCTCCCTCCTCCTTCTCCTTCCCTCCTCCTCCTCCTCCTCCTCCTCCTCCTCCTCCTCCTCCTCCTCCTCCTCCTCGGGTCGCCTGCGGCCCCTGGGGACACCGTGCACCGGCAGGTGGAGAACGCCGAGAAGCTGCTCAGGCCCGCGGGGCGCTGGGCACCGGCCCCCCGCACCCATCGGCGCCGCGTAGCAATCGTCGGCACGAGCGCAATTCGGAGCCTAGGAGACGGGGGTCAATGCAGACGGGGGTCAGCCAGGGCACCGGATCCTGCAGGATCCTGCGAAGACCCCGACTCGGGTTAGCGAGCCGCTTGTGGCCGCGAGGCGGTCGCGCGTATTAGCTGACCCGGGTTTTCGAAGACCTGCGTTGCAGTTTTTTGTTTTTCTTGCATTGGAGTTTTTTGGTTTCCTGCTGACCCGGGTCTGGATTGACCCGGGTCGGAAGATTCCCGAGAAGTGGGTACGGAAAGAATGGGTACAATGTCCAACAGCAGTTCTTGTTCATTTTGAACAGGACTCGCTCTTCGCGCAGCCGCGGCCCGTGCCCATTTGAGACAGAGGGCCGCCTGCCCAACAGCGGCCGCTGTTGGTTTGGGACAACATATGTTGTTGGGCACTGTGCCCACGTTTTCCGTACCCATTTCGGGCGTCCAAAAATCGGTCGTGGAAAGGAGGTGTTTTTGTGGAAATCGATCTGTGGAGGAAGCGTGCTGCCAAATAATTTCCAGATGTCTTGAAGTCTTAAACCTGTGTGATATACATGAAAACATGTTTCCGACATTACAAGCACATCCTTAATTCAATGATCGGATCGGTAGGGTGTTTCTTGTCACGGCATCCACAAAGGTACCTGACTGGGTACCGTCAGATCCCCAGATTCCACTTTGTTCTAGGGGCGTTCCTATTTCAAGGGTCGGGTTGTCTTTCAGGGGGTGGGCGGAGACCCAATCCACTTCCGACGCCTTCCCCCCTCATGTGTTCACCCACCTCTTCCGACCGATGGGCAAGAGTGACCCTTGGCAGCGGTGGCCTTTGCTGCGTGCCTGCAGGGATCCCCCCCGGCACTGGCCTGCGCGCTTGGATTTCACCCCCTCCCCCGCGACCCCCTGCGGCAGCCCAGATCTCCCGCGTCTTGTTCTTGTTCGCAGCTCTGACCCCCAGAGGTGTAAGCATCTTCGCCGGGACAGACTCTTCATCCTGGGTGTTCTTTGACGGTCCCGGGCCCCTTCGAGGCCCTCAGAAGCAAGAAACGGTTCAGCACTTCCGGTGGTGATTCTTCCGCGACGAGAGCAGGTGGGGAGGGGGCGCTGAGGCAGCGCACTCGAAGGCACTCTTGCTTGTGGGCCAATCCTGCGTGTCATTCGCTCGGACCAGTTCTGCGTGTAGTCAGCTGGCCCGTGCTGAGGGTCGGCGGGGCGAGGCTCCCGAGCCAGGCCGATGTCGGATGCGAGCTTCCACTGATGCTGGGCTCAGGGCATGCCTGGTCTCTAGGCCTCCCAGATGGGGTTGGAGTAGATGGGGTCGGAGGGTCGCGGCGCATCGCCGATGCATCGGCGATGCGGCTCGATGTGGAGCCCACTTTGCTTCACGCGAACGTCGCCGATGCATCGCCGACGTCGCGGATGCGTCGCCGATGCATCGGCGATGTATCGCCGATGCATCGGCGATGCGGCGCGATCCTCCGACCCCATCTTATCAGACCCCATCTAGGAGGCCTCTATGGATGGGTGTCTGAGGAGGAGGAGGACGATGACCAGTGCAAGCCCAAGATTCATCAAAGACGTTGCAATGAACCCTCCCTCCACGTTCCTTCTTCGTAGGCCCCATGCAAGGGTTCATTTTCACCGAGAGAGTGCCCCGTTGGACGACAACCGCTTGAAAACCCTGGACCGTGCCGTAACACCATTCATTCCTGGGGCTTCGCGTCTTGACGACCCTGACTCGTGCAAGAACGCCGTTGCAGGGACTCCAACACCGCGAGTCAACGTAACTGCTGCGCCCTGGGGGCCCTACACCCTGCCTGAACACTATTTCTGGGACACTAGCCGTAAACGTCCTTGAAACTCTGGCGAAGGTCGAAGACCACTGCACGCGGCGTTGAAGCGAGAGCCACCTCTGGAAAAAGGGTGCCGCCATCTCCGCCCGTGAAGCTGCTGCAGGTCTCCGCGAGACGCACGTGCGCGGCGCTGCGGCGACCGCCGCGCTGTGAAACGGTACCGCCCTCCATCCTCGAAGCGGTGCCAACTCTAGAGACGGATGTGCGCGGCGCTACCCCGCCTGCGCTCTGTCTCCCCAATTAGTGCTTTGCGCGGCCCGCCTAGCTCTTAACCGGAAGAGGCTCGCTCTCGACCCGCCGACCAAAAAAATGTGCGCGGCGCTGAGGCGAGAGCCGCATTGAGGAAAGGGTACCGCCCTCCATCCGTGAAGCTCCTGCAGGCTTTGAGGCCAATGTGCGCGTGGCGCGACGGCGATCGCCACAAAAAGCGGTCCGCTCTCCATCTGAGAAGCTGTTATAACTTGTCAGCTGAAGAAGGATACGTGGTGAAGAAGTCTCGGACGAAACGCCCGGCCCGCCTTACCGACACGTCTCGGCGTGCGACAGGGACGAGCTAGTGTGTAAACTCCAGACGCGTCAACGATGTTGCAACAAGCCCTCTCTCCACGCTCTCTTTTCAAAGTTCTAAAGGGTTTCAATTTCAATGCGGGAAGCCCCCCGTTGAAAGACAACCGTCTGATAATCCTCAATCGCTCCACAACGCAATTCCTTGGACTTCAGCCCTGGCTCTCAACATTCCTGTTGCGTCCTGACAATCCTGAGTCGTGCTGGAACACCTATCCTTGGAGTTCAGCACCGTGAGCCAGCGTGACTTTTGCGCCCAGACAAGCTAACTCGTGCCACAACACCATGTCTGGGATTTCTGGGATTTCAAGCATGCGAATTCTTGATGCCGTTGCAGACTTTAAAGGCATGTGTGCGCGGCGCAAAGGCGAGAGTCACACGTTGAACATGAGCCGTCCTCCATTTTTGAAGCGGCTACGAACTTTTATGACGAATGTGCGTGGCGTGATGAGAGTCACGTTTTGCAAACGGACTGTCTTCAACCTGTGAAGCTGCTGCAAACTTTGAAGGCGAATGTGCGGGGCGCTGGGGAGAGAGCAACATTTTGAATACCGCCCGCCCTCCATTTTGGGAGCCGCTCCAAATTTCAAGCTTCAGGGTGATAAGTTGCGAGAAACTTCCAGGCGGAAGCCTGACCCGCCCTACCGACACGTCTGGGTTTGCGACAGGGAAGAGTTGAGTACGAGGTAAAGGATGGAGGAGGAGAAGCAGGAGCAGGAGGAGGAGGAAGAGACAGAGGATGTGGACGAGGGCCAAATTGATAAGGAGGAAAAGGATGATGCTGGTGATGATGATGATGATGATGATGATGATGATGATGATGATGATGATGATGATGATGATGGTGCTGAGTGTGATGATGGTGATGGTGATGGTGATGGTGATGCTGATGATGCTGATGAGGATAATAAGGAGGAGGATGAGGAGGGGGAGGAGGAGGAGAAGGAGGAGGAGAACTCACTTCCCCTCGTTACGAAGGAATTATGGCAGGCGTTTTTGTTGTGCATTTTCGTGTTTGGGGGCCCAGCCTTCGCCAGACCCTGGGACTGTCAAATGGGAAACTGGTCCCAGGGAAGGGGTCTAGACCTCAAGTTGTCCACGGTGTGCGAAAATCAGGACGTCGGACTTTGGGGAGGAGGACGAGCGGCAGGACTAGCACTAGGATGCTGGCCTGCCTCCAAAGATGCAGGTCCAAGGAACGAGGAAAGGGCAAGAGAGGGGGCAGCCGCGCTTAGCACCAGCCGCCCACCCCAGCCAGGCCCCACAGCAGGGGAGCCCATGGGCGGCAAAGTGGGCCAAAGGGCGCGTAACAGCCTGGACGAGGCTGACCGTTCCGCAGAGCAGTAGACAACCATTCGATATTGACCGACGGAGGAGCGGCAGGAGGAGGGCGGAGGACGGATGACGACGAGCAGGGGGAGGTGCCCCGTCGGGAACTTTGGCTTAGCGTGTCGCGCCACAGGTTCTGGCCCACCGCGCTTCGGCGCGACACGGTAACCACGTCCCGGTCCCCGGCTTTCAACGTCCCGACCCTTGCCCAGCCTCCCGCCCCGCGGAGCGGAGCGACACGCTGTCCACTTGCAATGCGTAGCGTATCGCTGGGGCCGCTGCCGCGACACGCCATGCAAAAGTTCCCGACCGTAGGCTGGCAGCCAGCGTCCACCGCTCAGGCGCGTCGTCACCCACTGCAACTGGGGCATCAGCGAGGCCTTTACCTCGTGGCCGCTTGCGCCGCCGCGCGGCAGCCACACTGCCCCGCTGCCTTTCCCCTGCCACTGCCTCCCACCTCCTCCTCCTCCTCCTCCCCTCCTCCTCCTCCTCCTCCTCCTCCTCTTGCCCCCCCCTTCTCCTTCTCTCCTGCCTTCTTCTCCTCCCCCGCCTCTCCGTCCCTTTCCTCCTCCCCCGCCTCCCCCCCGCCTCCTATCCCGCCTCCTCGCCTGCCCTTTTCTCGTCCTCCTGGCCCCGCCCCCCTCTTCCTCCCCCGCCTCCTCCTCTCCTCCCGCTTGGCTCCAGTTTGCGCGTGCAGGCCCTGCCGCCGCTGTTGCGATGCCGTGTGCGGAAGGGCGCCCGCGCGAGGCGCGCTCATCGTTGTGCACGCCGCCGCAGGGCTGACGGCCGGGGCGGAGTGCCGCGAGGCGGTGCGCCTCCTCCGCGCCGCCGAGGGCTTTCTCCGTACGGCCGTGGCCGTCTTGGCGGCGCCGCCCGTCCCCGCCGCGCTTCTGTTTGCTGCGGCATCGCCGACCGCTGCTTTTCGGCGATGGCGCCGCCCTCGGTGACGAGGTGTTCGTGCCGGTGACGTCTTGGTGGAGTCAGCGACGGAGCAGGACTTGGAGGAGATGGTGGGGAGCGCTGCGAAGGGCGACGCAGCGCAAGACAGCGACAAAAGCATGAGTGAGGGTGGCCCGACCCCGCCTGGCGGATCGGGGGCGTTGGCGCTGACGGCCCTCGAGCCCCCCTCGGTCAACGACGCTCTGGCCGACCAGTGGGCAGATGAGCTGCCCCCGCGGCGCACCCCGCGCCGCCCAGCCCTCTCGGGCCTGCGGGATGGCGCCCGCGTTCGTCTACGAGATGGGCGCCAAGGATTGTTGTGCGGCCCCCCCCGGGGAGGAGGAGAAGGAGGAGGAGGAGGAGGAGGAGGAGGAGGAGGAGAAGAAGGAAGATGATGATGAGGAGGAGGAGCAGGAGGAGGAGGAGGAGGAAGAGGAGGAGGAGGAGGAAGAGGAAGAGGAAGAGAAAGAGGAGGAGCAGCAGAAGGAGCAGCAGGAGGAGGAGGAGGAGGAGGACGCCTGCGTGTGCGTCCTGGTCGGCAGCGGCCGCCGTGCGACGTTGTTCCAGATCCCCGTCGAGGACGCGGAGCCGTTCGGGGAGGTGGTGGCTGATGGGGCGGTGGCTCGGGGCTGCAAGAAGGGCAAGGGCGACACGTAGGGGCTGATGCCCGTCCGGTGTCCGCGCTGCCCTTCGGCGCCTTCAGGGCCAACACTAACTTACCTCCTCTACTCCTCCTCCTCCTCCTCCTCCTCCTCCTCCTCCTGCTCATCCTCCTCCTTCTCCTCCTCCTCCTCCTACCCCCCCCTGCCCTTCTCCTCCTCCTGCCACTGCCCCCCTCCTCCTCTCCTCCTTCTGCTCTCCCCCTGCCCCATCTCGACGTGAAGAAATACGACGCTAGGCCTTGTGGCATGTCATGCTCGGCTCCCGGGGGTGGCTCGGGATGACACCAGTCCCAGGGAAAGGGTCTGGACTAGTCGGGGCCGACGCTGTGAAACATGCCATCGTAGAGCTGTCGGAGGAGGAGAGGGAGGAGGACGACGAGGAAGAGGAGTAGGAGGGGGAGGAGCAGGAGGAAAAGGAGGAGGACGCGGAGGAGGATGAGGAGAAAGAGGAGGAGGTGGAGGAGGATGAGGAGCTCAGGGCCGGCGCGGTCCACGACAAGTTGGCGGCGCAGCCGAAAAGGGGCCTTGGAGAACAGACGCCGGTGCGACCTTCAGTGGCCTTTTGGTCCCGCGCGTGTGACCAAAGGAGTAAGCTGGGAGCGGGAGGATGAGGAGGCGCACGTGGATAGAGGATGGTGGTAATGATGCTGCTGCTGCTGCTGATGATGATGATGATGCTGCGGGTAATGATTATGATGATTGTGGTGATGGTGGTGGTGGACGATGATAAGATGGTTGTGGTGGTGATGATGACGATGACGTTGATGATGACGATGATGACAAGGAGAGCTCGACTTGATTCGGTTCCGTGCGCCGTGCCGGTCGTGTAGTTTGAAACATGGTGAGCTCCTCTACGTTTTGCAGTTGTTTTCTTTGCCTACTATTCTCCTCAGTGGCTGTGTTATTGGCGGTCGGATGGTTATTTCGCAGATGCCGAGATGATGAGGAAGATGGTGAGGGCAGCGGGAGGGGGGGGGGGCGAGGCAGGAGAGGGGGATGACCAGGAGGAGGGGGAGCACGAAGGAGGAGGATGGGCAAGCAGGAGGACAATAATGATGAAGGCGAGCAGGAGGAAAAAAATGGAGAAGCTCATGCAACAATAGGCAAGACGTATGACGAGGAGGTGGGGGACGATTGCAGTAATGATTAGAAGAAGAATTGTGAGGGTGTGTTAGGACGAGGGGAAGGAACAGTACTATGATGATGTCGTCGTCGACGAGTGACAATCATAATGACCACGACGATGCCGATGATGAAAAATATGGCGGTGGTTGGTTTGGGTGGGGAGGAGAGGGAGGAAGGGGCAGACGAGGATGCGGGGGAGGAGGGACTGGAGGAGGTGAAGCATATGGAGAAGGAGGAGAAGAGGGCTGGCGACAGCGATCGCGGTGGTAACGAGGAAGAGGAGGACGGCGATGCCGAGGATAAGGGTAATGGTGACGATGATAATGATTATGCTGATGATGATGCTGATTACGATCATGATACTGTTATGGTTGATAATGATGATGATGATGATGATGATGAGGCTGCGGATGATGATGATGATGATGATGATGATGATGATGATGATGATGATGATGATGATGGTGATTGAAGATGGAGGTGCCGACGATGTCGATGTCGATGCCGCTGTCGATGTCCATGATAACGATAGCGATGCCGATCACGATGATGATGACGATGATGATGAAGCTGATGGTGATGATTAAGAAGAGTCGTGTGACGGCAAGATGGTGATGCTGATGATGCCGACGACGACGACGATCGCGATGATGCGGATGATGCTGCTGATGCTGATGATTGTGATGATGCTGGTGGCGAGGGTCGTGATGGTGGCGGTGATGATGCTGACGCTGATGACGGTAGTGGTGGTGGTCGTCGGCGAACGCGGGGGCGACGAGGAAGAGGGTGACGGTGATGCCGATGATGAGGATGCTAGTGATAATGATCATGACGACGACGGTGATGATGGCGATGTTGATGATGATGCTGCCGATGATGATGATGCCGATGCTGATGATGCTGATGATGATCACGACGATGGTTATGCTGATGATGCTGATAATGTGAACTCTGATGATAATGATGATGACGATGATGCTGATGCTTGTAATGATAATGCGTACGATGATACCGCTGCTGCTGCTAATGATGTTGATGTTGATGTTGATGACGACGACGAGGATGATGCTGATACTGATGATGATGCGGATGATGATGCTGATTATGCTGATGGTGATGAGGATGATGGTGATGAGGATGATGATGATGACGATGGTGATGATGCTGATGATGATGATGATGCTGATGATGAGGATGATGATGATGATGATGTTGATGATGCAGGTGATCGTGATGATGACGATGATGACGATGATGATGGTGGTGATGATGATGGTGGCGGTGGTGATGCTGATGATGCTGATGATGACGATGAAGAAGATGATCATGATAATGATGATGATGCTGCTGCTGATGATGATGCTGCTGCTGCTGATGATGCTGCTGCTGCTGATGATGATGACGATGATGATGATGATGATGATGATGATGATGATGGTGCTGGTGCTGGTGATGATGATGGTGATTGTGGTGGTGATGGGGACGGTCGCGGTGGTGATGGCCATGGTGAACATGGAGGAGAAGCAGTTTGACTTTGTGGGGGCGAGAAGGAGGAGGCCGATGAGGATTTTGAGGGGGTGGAGGGCCTGGAGGAAGGGCGACGGCGTGGACCGCGGATAAGGGGGTGGATGGAGAGGGTGTCGCGAGCAGGAGGCATGGCCACTAGCCGCGGCAGGAGCAGGAGGAGGAGGTCGATGTCGACAACGGCGCGCGAGGGGGGGAGAGCGTGGCGGGCTGGCAGAAGTGCGCCCGCGGGGGTGGCGCCTCCCCGCTCCTGACGCCGACGTCGCGTGCGGGCCTGTGCGAAGCGCCTGGCGCCCTCGCAGCCCTTCCGCCCTCAGAGTCTGCGGCCGGTTCGTGTCGTGTCGACTGGGGGCGAGCCCGACAGCGGCGTTCAACGTTGAATGCTGCGTGCGACTCATGATCGTTCGATGTGGAACGAGTTGGACGTTTCGGAAACGGCCGATCGTTCAAGGTTGAACGATCCCCGCGGTGTCAGAGACCAGCGCCGAAGTCGACACGACGCGAACCTGCCGTCTGTGGATCCGAGCGGTCCATTTCGATGCCGATTCGGTTCCGATGCTCATTGTCACCACCCGCCAAATCACCCCAACCCAACCCGAAGGCTCAGATTTACCTTCGATTTCTAGTGGGGGGGGGTCCGGGAACATCGAAAAAACACATATGGAGCCCATACCCCCCCCAACCCGAAATTCTGGTCTTCGGGTTGGGTTGGGGTGGTCTGGTAGGTAGTCACATTGGCCATCCAGAGCGTGCAGGCGCTTGTGCGGCGCTGTTGTGCATCCTGGCGCGATTGTGTTCGCTTCGGTTCCGATTCCGTGCCGATGCGGCCCGGTTCGATGCACGCTCCGATCCGATCCGGTTTCGCGGCTCGGTGCTGGCTGCGCATGCCCTCACGCCTGGCCTGCTACCGGGGGGGAGGGGGGTGGAAGGTAGCTCTTAGGCTGAAGGTGATATTACTTCTTCTCGTCAGGACCATCGCCGCTCTCACCAGGACGGGGTAGCTCTCCTATTGCCCCTCCTTCTAGGTGAGGATGGGCGCCACGAAACCCAAGGGAGACGGCGACCATCCCTAGCTATGGAGGGCAGTTCGATCCGCGAAGCTGTGGTTTCTCCGGTGGGGGTGAGGGATTGCTTTACTTGCCCAGACACCTGAAGGCGGGAGGAGAAGAGAGAGAGAGGGAATGACGCGGCGGGGAGTATCGTGGGCGGGAGGGGCAGGAGGACGTCGCCATGGGGGTCCAGCGCCGGCCCACGAAGGCCGCGCGGACCTCCGACAGTCTATGTTTATGCTTTTTTGTTGTCTCTCTTTCTGGTAGCGGAGTTGGCAGGCGAGCGTGGTGGCGTGGCGGTGCAAGCATGAAGTCGGGCCTGTCCCTCTACAGGGGGCAGATTCAAAATAGTCCAAACATAGTAACAGTTTTTGGGTATGGTTGGGCATCTTCGGACTTTTTTTGTTTTGACTATTTTGTTATTTTTCGTCCGAAATCCCCCTGTAGGGGGACAGGCCCGACCTAATGCAAGCATCGGAGTTGTGAGGAGGTGGTCGGAGCAGGCGGCGGCGCCTGCAGGGTGGCCTGGTCGTGGGCCCTACCCCCCCCATTGGGGAGGTGGGCGCGGTCACGCCCTTTTCTCCTCCGCCTCCGCCAGGAGGAGGAGGAGGAGCAGGAGGAGGGGGAGAAGGAGGAGGGGGAGAAGGAGGAGGGGGAGGAGAGGGAGGAGGAGGAGGAGGAGGAGGAGGAGGAGGAGGAGGAGGAGGAGGAGGAGGAGGAGGAGGAGGAGGAGGAGTCCTCCGACCCCGCCTCCTCCGTCGGTCACTCAAGGCTCAAGGACTGAGCGCATAGGCCACATTCCGCCCATCGTGTCGATAGCAGCTCCTGGCTGGCCGAGCACGGCATTCTCTTGTACTGCCGCTACAAAGACGACATCCTCATCATCGCCGAGGGGGTGATGCGGAGCTGTTGGCAGTGCTACCAGTGGCTAGTGCAGAATGACACGTGCTTCAGGTGCAAAGTAGAAGGGAATTCGTTCCGTGGGGTTGATTTTCTCGACCTTCACATTTTCAAGGGCCCCAGGTTTCAAAAGCATGGCCTTTTGGATTACAAGCCCATCTGGAAACCCACTAGCTTAGGAGTTCCTCTATCACATCCCATGTCTGTACACGTGGCGTGGCCGCAAGCCGAGCTTGCGAGGCTAGACAGACATTCTTCGAGCACGGCCATCAGCGCCGAGGCCCGCGGGGTGTTCCTCGACAGGCTTTCGCGATTCGGTTTCCCGAGAGCGTACGTCAACCATCTCAGCACGTGGTCGCCCAAACCCGACAGAGAGCGCCGGCCCAATGAGGCCAGGTGCTGGAAAATGTGGGTAAGGTGCCCTTTTGACCCCGTGTGGGCCCGCGTGGGGATTTCAAGATTGTTCCAGGATTTTCTCAGCAATCCCCTGGCACAGGACACATGCAAGAGGTTTTTCGGCAAGGTTCCCGAAATCCGTCCAGCATGGGTGGCATCGTCCCCACCGTTTGTCCAAGTTGTGCAGCGTGCTGCAAGTTAATGGAGGTTGGTTGGGTGCGGCGGAGGCTGTATCTATTTATCTGCCATGCCAGGCAGGCGACGATACGAATTCACCGGCGGGTTGTTGAGCTAATTTGCCAAATCCGTCGTGACATTTTGGCGTCCTGCCCTGGTTTTCAGACTCCCCCCATGCCCGGCAGTAGGCATTTTGGATCAGGGTGGCGCTTACCGCGCCCCAGGCCCAGCAGCTTAGCATAGCGTCTGACTGCTGCTCTCCAGTAGTTCTGGAGAGACCCGAGTCCAGTGGAGAAACATTCACATCTCGTTTGATCTCGTTGAATCAATTCTCAGAGGGAACGACGCGGCGGGGAGTATCGTGGGCGGGAGGGGCAGGAGGACGTCGCCATGGGGGTCCAGCGCCGGCCCACGAAGGCCGCGCGGACCTCCGACAGTCTATGTTTATGCTTTTTTGTTGTCTCTCTTTCTGGTAGCGGAGTTGGCAGGCGAGCGTGGTGGCGTGGCGGTGCAAGCATGAAGTCGGGCCTGTCCTTCTACAGGGGGCAGATTCAAAATAGTCCAAACATAGTAGCAGTTTTTGGGTATGGTTGGGCATCTTCTGATTTTTTTTGACTATTTTGTTATTTTTCGTCCGAAATCCCCCTGTAGGGGGACAGGCCCGACCTAATGCAAGCATCGGAGTTGTGAGGAGGTGGTCGGAGCAGGCGGCGGCGCCTGCAGGGTGGCCTGGTCGTGGGCCCTACCCCCCCCCATTGGGGAGGTGGGCGCGGTCACGCCCTTTTCTCCTCCGCCTCCGCCAGGAGGAGGAGGAGGAGGAGCAGGAGGAGGGGGAGAAGGAGGAGGGGGAGAAGGAGGAGGGGAAAGGAGGGAGGAGGAGGAGGAGAGGAGGAGGAGGAGGAGGAGGAGGAGGAGGATGATGATGATGATGATGATGATGATGATGACGATGATGATGATGATGATGATGATGATGATGATGAGGAGGAGGAGGAGGAGGACGAGGAGGAGGAGGAGGAGGAGTCCTCCTCCGACCCCGCCTCCTCCGTCGGTCACTCAAGGCTCAAGGACTGAGCGCATAGGCCACATTCCGCCCATCGTGCGATTACAATTTCAAGGTCTTCTCTTCGTAGTTACGCGTTGTGCACCCACGAAGATGTGGTCGCATTGTGCTATTTGCGTTGTGGGTGGTGCATTTTGCGTTCTCCGTAGGTGGTCGCATTCTAATCATGGTGTGGGAGTCATATTTTTATATATATATATATATATATGTATCATTGTGCGCGGAGGTTCGACGCTTGCGATGAGATGTTCGGATTTTGGCGAGCGTGTTAGATTCATTACGCACTATTTCTTGTAATCGAGAGCGCAACACAATTTCAAATGGGTTCGATGCTCACACAAGAGTTCCTGGTGAGACTTCAGCTGAAAAGGGTCGCTCAAAGCAAACCTGGCTTATGGTGTCACTACTGCGCGTGAAGGGTCGTCGTCCGTGCAGTCACGAATTGGAAGAGAGTTCTACAAATATATCCATATATAGCATCCCAAAACGAAAGCTCGCATGACAATCCACGGGCACGTTGCCCGCGATACAAAATAGCATTGTGCGGTATCCCACGACATGCAGGCCATTTTGCATGGACGATTCGAAGGAACGTGTGTACAGTTCTTTAGAACAAGCGCATTTACGTTGAGAGAGTTCGGTTGAAAGAGGCTGAAGAGGAGAGCCGACGCTGGGAGCTGCTTGCAAAGCTCCGAACCATACGTGATGGCATCCATGGCAGCCGCATAATTCATCAAGATGGCACTGACTGTCGCCAGTTCGTTGCAGTTCTGATGCTTTAGCTGGGACGAGAATCGTGAAAAGCATACAGAATCGACGGGCAGACATTACCAGAGAAACATTCACTCAACCAGATGGTTCTTTTCACGAGCCATGGTTCTATAGCGTAGTTTGTTCAACGTATTGTGGAGGAGCGCGTGACCCGATATCCAACAGTGATGCCTTTCTTTACGCAGTATGGAAAATAGACAGGTTTCTAGAGGCGTGATTTCGACGAGAAGACAGGCAGATCGGGAACAGTACTTCATCAAATGAGTTCCGGCGCTCCGGCGCCACCGTCGCGCTCTTCTAGGCCCGTCCCCCAGGACGATTTGCGGCCGCCTCGCTTCCTCCTCTCCAACCTCCTCCTCCTCCTCCTCCTCCTCCTCCTCCTCCTCCTCCTCCTCCTCCTCCTCCTCTCCTCCTCTTCGTCCTCCTCCTCCCTCCTCCTCCTCCTCCTCCTTCTTCTCCTCCCTCCCACTCCCTTCTCCTCCTCCTCCTTTTCTCCTCCTCCTCCTCCTCGCTCCTCCCCGCCCTCACTCGTTCTCCTCTTCCTCCTCCTCCTCCTCCTCCTCCTCCTCCTCCTCGCTCCTCCTCCTCCTCTCCCCTCCTTCGCCCCCGCCTCCTCGCTCCTCCTCCTCTTCGTTCCTGCCCCTTCCCTTCCTTCTCCACCTCCTCCTCCATCTCGCTCCTGCCCCTTCCCTCGCTCCCCTTCCACCTCCTCCTCCTCCTCCTGCTCCTCTCATCTTCCTCCTCCTCCTTCTCATCCTCCTCCTCCTCTGTTCCTCCTTCTCCCACTCCCTCCTCCTCCTCCTCTCATCTCAATCTTCGTTCTTCCTCCCCATCCTCACCCTGCCTCCTCCTCCTCCTCCTCCTCCTCCTCCTCCGCCTCTCCTCCATTTCCTCCCCCGCCTGCGCGCTCCTCCCTCCTCCCGGCTCCTGCCCCTTCTCCTCCTCCTCCTCCTCCTCCTCGCTCCTGCCCCTTCCACTCCTCGTCCTCCTCCTCCTTGTCCTCCATCCTCCTGTCTTCTGCTCCTCCTGTCTTCTTCTACTCGTCTCGTCCTCTTCCTTCTCCTCCTCGTCCTCCTCCTCCTCCGCCTTTTCCTCCTGCTCCCCCTCCTCTTCCCAAAGGAAGGAAGGACGAACAGGCATGCAGGGCGGCGGCCGCCGCCCCCCGCCCCCCCCCCCGCGGGAGGCGAAGGTGCGCAGCCTGCTGAGCGCGCGGGAGTGCGTCGCGGCGCGGCTGACGCTTGCGCCGATGGTCCCCGCGCTGAAGCGCCGACCCCCGACAGCTGCCGTTTTCGCCGCCGCCTTCGCCGCGGCCGTCACCGGCGTCGTCATCGCCGCCCTCGCTGGCGTCGCCGCCGCCGCCGCCGCCGCCGCCGCCGTCGTCGTCGCCGCCGTCGTCGTCGTCGTCGTCGTCGTCGTCGTCGTCGTCGTCGTCGATGTCGTCGTCGTCTTCGTCATCGCCGCCGCCGCCGTCGTCGTCGTCGTCGTCGTCGTCGTCGTCGCCGCGGCGGCGACAGACAAGGGCAGGACATGTGGGGTGGAGCGCGACACCTTGTGGCACAGGCATTTCGGCAGCGATGCTGCGGTGCCGCATCGGAAGGACCTCAGAGGTATCGGTGCTTCTTTGGTCCTGCAGTCTTCTAGGAATTCTCCCGGAAAGCCGGGTTTCTCAGGAGGCACGCGAGCAGAGGATATGGGGGCCAAGCCAGGCCGCTGCATAGTTCCTCCTCCTCTTCCTCCTCTTCCTCCTCTTCTTTATACTTCTCCTCCTCCTTCTCCTCCCCCCTTCTCCTCCTCCTCCTCCTTCTCCTCCTTCTCCTCTTCCTCCTCCTCCCCCCTTATCTAGGATATGGGGGCCAAGCCAGGCAGCTGCATAGGCACCGTTTCCCTCGTGAGTTTGTCGTCTCATCGCCACTGCCCAACCCCAGGACCATCGCGTGTGCCTTCTGAAAGTTTCCGCTGTTCTTCGCGCTTCGACGACAAAACGAAGCGGTGCTACGACCGTGTGCGTAGGTCGTGCGCTACTCGCAGTGCGCTGGGACTCAGTCTCGTTTATCCGGTCCCTAGCCCCACCGGGCCATAGGCCATGGCATCCCAGCCCCACCATCCCTCCCAGTTTGGGATATGCCTCTCGAAGCCCGAGAGGAACAGCCTATATCCCCCTTCTACGGGGGTAACTCGACGAGTGGGGCCCTGACCACGCCGGTAGGGATAGGGATCCGTCAAACGATGTTCAAGGATGGGAGAAGTCTGTTGCTCGTCGCGCCATTCCTCCAGCATTGTTCACCGACCGTCGTCTTCATTCTGGTGCCAGCGGCATCTCAGGCAGGCGGTCTTCAACCTCTCCGCGGCGAACCCGCAGGTGACCATCGGATCAGGACCGTGCCCCTGTGCGTTCTCACGCCATGCTCGGGTGCAGGTTGACATCCTAGTCGTCCGTCCTGTTCTCTCTGCTGTCCCGCAGCCGCAGCGTCGTTTCTATGCGGCCAGGCGACAAAGCATCATTCTCAGGGCCCCCCAAACGTGGACTTTTATACACCAGGTTATTGGCGCGCCAGTGAACTGCAACCGTGAGTCGTATGTGTGCCAGTGCAGCAATTCGCATGCCGCCTTTTTCAGGCAGATCCCGTGTCCATGTTTTCTTGGTTGCTGCAGTCAGCGCGCGTAATGACACTACAGGCGGCAGCCTCAGCTGTTGCCGATCTTTTCTCCCAGCGTCTCTGCTCCCTCCTCCCTCTCACCCCTCCCGACCTCCCTTCCCTCCTTCCCTCCGTCCTTCCCTCCCTCCTCTCGCCTCCTCTTTGCCCCCCTCGCGCCTCTTCCACCCTTCCCTCTCTCCCTCGCCCCTCCTCCCCTCTCCTCCCCTCTCCTCCCCTCTCCTCCCATCTCCTCTCCTCCCCTCTCCTCCCCTCTCCTCCCCACCCCACCCTCTCCTCCCCTCTCCGCGCATCTTGTTCCATTGGAGCGCCCCCGGGGGGGGGGGGCAGGCACCGCCGCCCCGCTCTCTCTGGGCCCGGTCGCTCCTGTTGGGGAGTTCTGGTCGTGAGCGAGCTGGAGCCGAGGAGGGCACGCAGGAGAGATCACCACCCACCAAACCACCCCAGCCCAACCCGAAGGCTCAGGTTTACCCTCGATTTCCAGTGGGGGGGGGGTCGGGAAGCATCGAGACAAAAACACGTGGAACCCTTGCCCCCCCCAGCCCGAAATTCGGGTCTTTGGGTTGGGTTGGGGTGGTCTGGTAGGTAGTCAGGAGAGCCCAGAAGGGGAGGTGGAGGAGGCCCGGGATGACGACGTGCTGGGAGGACGGCGGAGGCCCAGTAGGGGCAGGCGGAAGCCGGTGTGGGACTCGGAGGTGGTGGAGTGGCCGGGGGAAGATCCGCAGGAGAAGGGAAGGAAGAGGCGGAGGAGGAGAACGAGGAGGTGCACGAGGATGTGGAGGGGGGGGTGGTTGGAGGAGGAACGACAGGAGAATTGACAGCAGCTGAAGGAGGAGGTCGACGAGGAGGAGGGGGAGGAATGCAAGTGAGGTGCGAGGAGGGCGATGTGATGGGAATGGGCTTGTGACGTGAAGGGAACGGAAGAGGGCGCAGAGGAGGGGAATCAGGAATAGGGGCAGATGCAGGCGGATGTTCGGATGGATGAGGTGGAGGAGGATGAAGGTGGTAACGCCAACCACGTCCTATGGCGACGACGACCACGAAGACATGGACGACAACCGCGACGACGAAGAAGACCTCGACGACGACCACGCTTACGGGTTGAACGCCCCAGAGGGGACAGACACCGGCGGCCAAGACTTGTCGAACGTGGTCGCTGTGATGCAAAAGCCGCCAGATGGGATGACCGTGAACAGACTTTGGGAGGTATGGTGAAGGCAAGCGAGGATCACGTGAAGGAGTGCCCAACACGGCCACCGTGGGTTTCGATCCCGTCGGTCTGGCTGGAGATCGGCCCTGGGCGGCCCCCTGTTCGATTCGATTCGGCCTTCTTGGGCGGCCCGAGGGGCCCGATGATAATTAGTTTCATGGCGCTGTTATGCATCCTGCCGCCGCCGATTCGATTCCATTCCAGCTCCCAGCCCAGTCGGTTCGACTCGATACACGCTCTGGGCCACTACGGTTGTCCGACTCGATGCTGCCTGCTCCTGGCGACTCGCGTGCGCACGTGGCAGGGCCACCTGCGCACGCGAGGCCCAGCCCTCGGGGGACACGTCGCCAGGGTTTGAGGAGGCAGCCAGGGGGCCGGAGCGGGAGGTGGGGCCTGCAGGATCGAGTAAGCACAGAGATCCTCCGATCCGATGTTCTCAATCCGCGGCCTTCCGGCCCCTGCGTAGAGAAGGAGCCCCCAGAGGGCGACGCCAAGGAAGGGCGCCCGGAGACTGGGAGATGTGGGAATGGGGGAGGGGGCGAGTCAGGAGTTTTGTTTCACAGTTTCGTTTTTCCTGTAAATGTGACCCCTTTCCCTGGACCCGAGTGTCGTCCCGAGTCGTTTTTTGAAGGTCCCAGGGACTGTTGAGGGCCCCCAGAGGCCGAACACCGTCGACGACCTCCCCCGGGGGAGGGGGAGGGCGCGGGGCAGGTGGGGGTGGAGGACGGGAGGGATCGGGCCACGAGCAACATGTTTTTTTTGTTGCGCGAAGGCGGCAGGACACCGGGAAAGAGAGAGAGAAAGAGAGAAAGAGAAAGTGCACGTCGGCGTGGCACCGCTTCGCCGGCGCAGGCGGCGGCTGCGACCTGCTCGTGAAGGGCCCGCTGATGTCCAGGTCCTCGGTTGGGGGAGCGCCGCGGGCGGCGAGACTACAGTCAACCCGCATAGTAAGGATGGGCAACCTTCCCAAGGGGACCCTTGCCTCCTTGCCTTCTCGGCCCATCCTTGGCCGCTTTCGTTGGCCGCGGCCCGCTCGCAAAGCTTCGACATGGGCGTCCAAGGCCCTGGCATCCTCATCGTGCATCCTTGCTATACGGGTTGACCGTACCGAGATCGTTGTCCCAAAGTTGGGTTAGGCTAACCCCGATTAGGGAACGAAGCCAGCTGGATGCTCACCCAGACCTCCAGCGTATTGAACCCAAGAAGCAAAGGTTTTTCGCCGTTTTCGGCCCCAGCGGGCCCTCGCCGATCCCCGGGACCGTCAAAAACGACTCGCGGTGAAAAACCGCCCCCGGGGAAAGGGTCGGGGACTCCCAACGACCGCGCATTGGAACAGTCAGGACATCGCCTGTCTTTTTCCAGGAGCCGTCTCGACCAGTTCTCCCCGAACCCCTCCTCTCTGCCCCCTACCCCGCCTTTCATTCACGTCCTCCCGACGGGAGGGTCACGACGCGGCGCTGCCTCCGCGCCGCGGCGGCCCCGCCTTTAGATGCACGTTTGGGGTGACCCTCCCTGGGTCCAACTGGCGGATCTCTTTGACCCTGGTGCGGCTCCAGTTCGACATTGGTTCGACTCCAGTTGCACTCCAGTTCGACTCGAGTTCGGCTCAAGTCGACCAGCGTTCGATGCAGCCTCGACGCATGAGTGGAGCGATTGGCTCCGTAGGAAGGTTCCCGGAGCGAGCATCCTCCTCCCGCTGCCCGCCCCCCGTTTGCACCCCTCTCGCTCTCCCACGTCTCCCTGGCGCTTCCCCTGCCGTATTATTCGCCCCCCTCCCCTTCACCCCCATCCACGTCGTTTCGCTGTGAAGACATCACCAGAGGAGGAGGAGGAGGAGGAGGAGGAGGAGGAGGAGGAGGAGGAGGAGGAGGAGGAGGAGGAGGAGGAGGTCGCTCCCCTCGGCCTCTCTTCGGCACCTCGGCGGCCGTGGTGGATCGCTGCCGCCGCGGTCCCGATCGGCGCTGCGCTGCTGGTCGATCGCTCCCTGGTCGGGTTGATCTGGTGGCTTCCTCTCGCTCTCTCTCTCGCTCTCTCTCGCTCGTGGCACGCGCCGGAGTCGTGGCGCGCCACATCCGGATGCCAGAACCGCCCTCTTTCTCGTTGTGAGAGAAACTCACCCCTGCCTCTCCACCTTCCACCCTTCCGACCGGCAGGCCGGCAAGGTTTAGTTGTCCTTTCGAGGAGCACCTAAGTCCGCGCGGAGCTTCGACAGTTTGTGCTCATGCTTTTGGTTGTTCTTCGTGCTTCTCTCTCTCTCTCGAGGCCTCGTGGATGAGAGCTTGGAGGATCGTGCCGCATCTCCGACGCATCGTCGATGCATCGGCACTGTCTACGATGCATCGGCGACGCCGGTGTGGCGAAAGTCGGGCTCCATATCGAGCCGCATCGCCGATGCATCGGCGATGCGGCGCGATCCCCATCCCATCTACTCGGCCCCTATCTGGGGGCCTGTACTCTCGTCGTGAGAAAGTGACGGCGGGAGGTTTCTCGCCATTTTCGGCATCCCGGGGCCCTCGCCAGGCCCCGGGCCCGTCAAGCACGACTGGGGATGGGACACCTCTCGCGGGAAAGTGATCTAGACCTCGGGGTGAGAGATCAGGCGCTGGCGTTTTTGATCGCTGACGTTTTGGACGCCGTCGGTCTGATCTTCTGTTCGGGATCTTGCGCCAGCCGAGCCCATGTCACGGGACCGCCGCACGAAGGGGACCCGGCCAGCAGAGGACGCTGCGAGAGCGCCCCCTGTCCCAGAGGATCGTGCACTGAGAAAGGTCGAGCATGGTCTCCAGGTCACGATTAGACAGCCCCCCCAGGTGGTCTTGGCTGGCCTCAGCACCACCTTGAAGTAGTCAGGGGCGGTTGCCGCAGGCGAAGCGCTGGGGTGTTGAGACCGCTCCTTGGCTACTCGGGGGCCCTTTGAGGACAGCTGGGACTACCCAGGGTGGCTGTCTGAGCGCAGCCCGAAGCCTTACCAGAGGGGGGTGATCGAGGATCGAGTATCGAGGACCTTCCCCCCTCTCCAGAACTCCAGCGTCGTGATGCTTGTTCTAGCGCGGAGGACCCCAGGTGATCTGGACCCCTTCCCCAGGACAAGCATTTTTATGCCTAGCAGTTTTCAACGGCCCCAGGGCCTGGCAAGCGCCCCCTGGAGGCTGCAAATTACTCAAGACCTCCGGCAAGGGGACAAAAAGGTGGAACCCCGTCGTCGTCGACACCATGTTCGTCCCCCCCCCCCTTCCCCCAACTCAAAGTTGGGCTTTGGCATGGTGGAGACCCCGGGGGTTGCACTTTTTTTGTCCTTTCAAGCCTGTGCTATTGAATGCCTGGGATCAACTTTGAATGTTGGGGGAGGGGAGGGGCCAGAGTCAAGGGTTCAACTTTTTTGTCCATCTACGGTCCCGTCGTGATTCGCAGCGAGAGACGGGTGGGGGTCCCCAGACAGCAGGTAGGGCAGGTCCCACGCCGTGCTCGAGCTCGTGCCGGACAAGGCGGGTGCGCAGCGCTCCTCCCCCCCGCCTTTCTTGATGCTCGACTCCAGCTCGACTCCAGTCCAAGTCGACGGGCGTTCGACGCAGCCTTGGCCGTGCCGATCTTGGAGGAGGCGGCGGAGGCGGAGGCGGAGGCGGAGGAGCAGGAGGAGCAGGAGGAGGCGCAGGAGGAGGCGGAGGCGGAGGCGGAAGAGGAGGAGGAGGAGGAGGAGAAGAGGAGGAGGAGAAGAGGAGGAGAAGCGGAAAGTAAATGAGGATGAGGAAGGCGGAGGGAGGAGGAGGAGGAGAGGAGAGAGGGAGAATGAAGGGAGGAGGAGGTAGGCGGAGGCGGAGGCGGAGGCGGAGGCGGAGGGCGGCGGCTGAGCCGAGTAGGAGGAGGAGAGGAATGTCAGGCAGGAGGAGGAGGAGGAGGATGAGGAAGGAGGAGGAGGAGGCGGAGCCGGAGAGGAGTAGGAGGAGGAGGAGGAGGAGGAGGAGGTAAGATGAGAGGAGAGGAAGGAGGAGGAGAGGAGGAGGAAGGAGAGGAAGGAAATGGAGGTTCACGATCCGGAGAGAGGAGGAGGAAGGAGGAGGGAGGAGGAGGAGAGGAGGAGGAGGAGGAGGAGTAGGAGGAGGCGGAGGCGAGGGCGGAGGCGGAGCCCGAGGAGGGAGGAGGAATGAAGGAGGAGGAAGGAGGAGGAGGATAGAGGAAGAGGAGGGGGCGGAGCCGAGGTGGAAGGAGAGGAGGAGGAGGGAGGATGAGAGAGTGAGGACGGAGGAGGAGTAGGAAGAGGAGGAGGAGGAGGGGAGGCGGAGCCCGAGGAGGAGGAGGAGGAGGAGGAGAGGAGGAGGATGAGAGGAGGAGGAGGAGGGAGCGAGCCGGAGGAGGAGGAGGAGAGGAGGAGAGGAGGAGGAGGAGTAGGAGGAGGAGGAGGAGAGGAGGAGGAAGAGGATGAGGAGTAGGAGGAGGAGGAGGAGGCGGAGCCAGGAGGAGGAAGGAGGAGGAGGAGCAAGGAGAAGGAGGAGGGAGATGAGGAGGAGGAGAGGAGGAGGAGCGGGAGTTCGTTTCGGTGTCGGAGCGGAGTGTGAGCCAGATGAGAGGAGGAGGAGGAGGAGGAGGAGGAGGAGGAGGAGGAGGAGGAGGAGGAGGAGGAGGAGGAGGAGGAGGAGGAGGAGGCGGAGCCGGAGGAAGAGGCGGAGGAGGAGGAGGAGGAGGAGGAGGAGGAGGAGGAGGCTGGCTGGCTGGCAACCTGCACATGGCCTGGTTCCCACAGTCAACAGGTTCGCTTGGCCGCAGGGCGGTCGGGGAGGCACTATGCACCCCGTCGGTGTCAAACGTGTCGGGAGCCTCTTCCCCACACTTAAATGGGGACTCCCTAAGTGTGGTGCAGGGTCGAGAGGCCCGCACGCACGAACTGCAAGTGAAAGATCCTCTCGGATCGCAGAGAGAAGCAACAAGAAAGAAAGGAGGGAGGCGAGCAGCTAGGCTTCCGCGGATGGGTTCCGTGGCAGAACTCCAACTCACAGGTCACGCCACTAGTCTTGTACAAGCTACTGTTTCGCGAAACAGTCCCAAGCGCGCCCCTCGCGCAGAAACACAAGCGGTGACGATTTATTGTTTGCCTTGCCTCGTTGCTTTGCCTTTGCCCCGAGAGCGCCCTTTACCCTTTGGCTGAGAAATGGGATCCCACTCGCCTTGAAACCGCACCCGACCTCGCTCCGAGAAAGATCCGATCATGCCAGGGGGTCTCGCAGGAGGAGAATAGGAGCTCCCAGGAGGAAGAAGAAGGGGGTCAGGGGGATCCTCTACCACTTCTTGTGGCGGTTCCGGCGAAGCATTTTCTCGAGCGAGTTCTGAACTTTGCGTTCTTGGGTGGTCTCGGGGGGTGGTCCCATTTTCGGCTGGCTCCCCAGGGCAAGAAAAAGAGCCACGATGACGGCATTAATGGGAGTCATTAGACCCCCAGCCCCTTGGATCCACGAGTTAACAAAAAACGCGTGACGAACCATCGGCGGGGCGCCGTCCCTCTGGAAGGCCGTCTTGGCCCTCCAGTATTTGAGTGTTTCGCAGGCTACTGGCAACGGCTGGGCGGTCACTGCTTACACTAGGCCCGTCAAGGCCTTCAGATGATCCTGGTACTCTTTCTTGGATTTGAGCTCCTCGAGCTCGCACACTGCTTTCAACACCGCCAGGCTGACGTGCAGACTCGGAGGCCCGTGATCGTGATCTCCCTTGCCGGCTGTTTTCTCCTGGTACTGCTGGGCGGCGGCGACGGCAATGCTGTTCAACGGATGCTCCTTGGGCAGTAAATGCGTGGTCAGTAAGCACCCTTCGACTCCCCGAAGCCTCTGGGCAGTGCTGAGAAACCCTTTCATCAACTCCTGGGCCGTATCGTTCTCCGTGTCGCTGCCTCCCTCCCCCATGGCCGAGTCGGCCGCCGCCGCAGGCATCAAGCGCCTGTCCTTGCGGGGGCCCTCGCGCCGCGCGCCGCGCGCCGCTGCCGCCAGCGCTGAAGAAGGGCTGCGCTGAGGGCTCCGCCAGGCGCTTCCGCGCTTTCTCGACCTCCTGGGGGCCCACCTCCATGGTCCACGTCATCGATTGCGAAAGAGAGAGTGGCGTCGGGAAGGGCAACGTGGGAGCGGGTATGAACTAACAGAGCCTCAAGCGACGGATGGTCAACACTACACGCTGGGCACTGGAGACACTCAGGAACAATCACTGCATGATGTACGGGGCTCCGATCACATTGGCAACTGCGTTTCAAGAAAAGCCGTCGGACGTGTTGTCGAGAGATCGCCACAGTAGAATGGGTGTTCATACACCACGGGCATTGATTAGTGAGAGTAAGTAGCTGTGAGAGGGCGCGGTGCCCATGACTGCCCTCGGTACAAAATCTCATATGGGCGTACCACGCCGTCTGATCAAAGAACTCCAACCCACACACACTGCCATCATCACGACTTTCTTCACATCTCCAGACACGAGGGGGAGGAAGTGGATCGGGGTCTGGAACGTCAACTCCTCCTTCTCCTCCTCCACCATCAGCTGCACCTCCACCTGCTGCACCTCGCGGAGCCGGAGCCGGAGGAGGATGAGGATGAGGATGAGGAGGAGGAGGAGGAGGAGGAGGAGGAGGAGGAGGAGGAGGCGGAGCCGGAGGAGGAGGAGGAGGAGGAGGAGGAGGCGGAGGAGGAGGCGGAGGAGGAGTTGGATCCCGAGGAGGAGGAGGAGGAGGAGGAGGAGGAGGAGGAGGAGGGACCGGGGCTGGTGTCCGCGCCCTCCCGTGGCGGCGCATTAGTGGAGCGAGTGGCTCCAGGAGGGTCGCCGGAGCGAGCGCCTGCCCCGCCGCCCGCCCACTGTTTGCACCCCTCCCGCTCTTCCGTCTCTCCCTGGTGTCTTCCCCGCATCCTCTCCCCCTCGGGGGCGGTAAAGAGGGGGGTGATGACTAGGGGGGGGATCTTATGGCGTGGGCCATGATGTTTCCCCAGATTTCATGGCGCCTCTTCTTGTTTCAGTACGTCTCTGGCCCCCCCCGTTTGGCCGCGCACATGCCGCGGGTCATGATTTGCACCCGCCCCTCTTGGACGCCCCCCTCTTGGCCGCCCCCGACCCCGGCCGCCCCCCGACCCCATGTTCTCTCACTGTGAAGAAAAGAACGACGGGATGTTTTGGCAATTTTCGGCTTCCAGAGGCCTTCACCATTTTTTAACTCAAGCAATCCTCGCGGCCATGCTTAGTTGATGTATCCTCTGGTGTGGTGCTGTGGTCAGGTCACAGCGGCATCCACCGGGCAAGTGAACAAATCCTCTTGTCCGAAGTCAGACGAAACACTGTATGCCTGAAGTGATCCAGACAGGTCCCTGGGCAATAACGAGCAGCTCGGGACGAAGAGCCGGTCCCGGAGAAGGGGTCCAGATCTCCAGGGGTCTTCGCCTTGCAAGAAACATCATCGGAGATCTGGGTCCATCCTCCCCCTGTCCCCTCCTCCTCCTCCTCCTCCTCCTCCTCCTCCTCCTCTTTCTCCTCTTCCTCCTTCTCCTGTTCCCCCTCCCTCCCCTGGGCGCCGTCCAAAGTTTTGCCGATTCGACGCAGGTTGGATGCTGCGGTTGGCCTTTTGGGGGAAACGCGTGGGCTTCGGCCGGGTCTGGGCCCTCCGGAGAGGCCCAAAGCTCTTGTGTCGGGACGATGGAAATCGGTACGAAAAGAATGGGTACAATGCTCAGTAGCTCGGGGGTGGACGGAACCCCCAACAGTGACACGTCGATTAGTGAATTGTCCGTTTTCGGTTCTCGAGAGGGCGCCGTGGCCGTTATTTTCCAGGCCTGCGCCCGCCAGGTTTGGGCCTCAGGTCGTTTTCACTAAACCACGTTTTACTAAAGGGGGGTCTGTCCATCCCCGAGTAGCAGTTCCTGTTCATTGTGAACAGCACTCGCTGTCCGCGCCGCCGCGGACGTTTGTTCGTTGAAGACGAGAAGCCCCCTTCCCAACAGCGGCCGCAGTCGGTTTTGGACAACATGTGTTGTTGGGCATTGTACTGTTTTTTCCGTACCCTCCCGAGCGTCCAAATTGTGCTCCCCGCCTCAGCCCCCGCGAACAATGCCGGCATTCGAGAAATTATTGC